GGCTAGATGGGGCAGTAGGAGGAAAGGGGCCCAAAGGCAGGCAACAGAGTCGGGGTCAGCCCCTGCTCCCACTGTTAGGAGGTCCACAAGAAGACCAAACTACACAATTTTAACTTATGTGCAGAGGGCCTTGGTCAGTCCCATGAGGCTCCCTGGTTGATGGTTCAGTCTCTGTGAGCCGCTCTGAGCCCAGGATAGTTGATTTTGTTGGTTTTCTTGTGGTACCCTTGACCCCTCTGGTTCCTATAATCCTTCCTCTCCTGCTTCCCCAGGATTCCCCAAGCTCCGCCTAACGTTTGCCCTTGGATCTCTGCATCCGTTTCCATCAGTTGCTGGGTGACGCTTCTCTGATGACAACTGGGCTAGATGCCAGTCTATGAGAATAGCAGAATAGCATTAGCCGTTGTCTTCTTCTCCTTCTTTTGTTGTTCCTCTTCTTGTTCTTGTGCTTCTCCTCTACCATCTCTTCCTCCCTTCTTCATCTTCTTTTCTTTTTGCTCTCTGTCTCTCTGTCTCTATCTATCTCCCTCTTCCTCTTCCTCTTCCATTCCCCCTCCCCTCTTTCTCTCTCTCCCTTTCTTTCTTTTGCCAGGCATGTTTGTTTCTACCTTAGGTCTCTTAGCTATCCAGCCATGGGTCCTGGTCCTCTAGACAATCTTAGGGATGGTCTCCCTCTCATGTCATAGGTCTCAAGTTGGACCAGTCACTGGCTGGCTATTCCTACAATTTCTGTGCCACCTTTACCGCAGCACATCTTGTATGCAGGAAAAATTTTAGGTCAAAGGTTTTGTGGCTGGGTTGGTGTCCTAATCTCTCTACTGGAAGTCTTGCCAGATTTCAGAGGATGGATGATTCAGGTTCCATGTCCCCCATTGCTAGCTAGGGTCACCCTAGATTCCTAGGAGTTTTCATGGCCCTAAGTTTCTAGCTTATCCAATAGATGCTTGCTTGCCCTGATTCCCGTTGTCTCTCCCAGGACTCTCTCCCTCATCTTCCCCTAACCTGGTCCCTTCTGTTCCCATCTCCACTCTCCCATTTAGACCCCATCCCCATCCACCGCAATGTCTATTCTATTTTCCCTTCACAGCGAGATTCAGTCGACCTCTTTAAGCCTTCCTTGTTACTTAACTTCTCTGGGTCTGTAGATTGAAGCATGATTATCTTTTACTGCTAATTTCTACTTATAAGTGAGTATATACCGTGTTTTTCTTTTTAGGTCTGTGTTACCTCACTCAGGATGATTTTCTTTTGTTCCATCCATTTGCTTGCAAATTTCATGATGTCATTGTTTTTAACAGCTGAATAGTACTCCATTATGTAAATGTACCACATTTTCTCTATTCATTCTTTGGTTGAGGGACATTTGGTTGTTTCCAGTTTCTGGCTATTGTGAATAAAGCTGCTATGAGCATAGTTGAGCAAGTGCCCTTGTGGTATCGTGGAACATCTTTTGGGTATATGCCCAGGAGTGGTATAGCTGCGCCTTGAGTTAGATTAATTCCAACTTTTCTGAGAACCCAGCAAATTGATTTCCAGAGTATCTGTACAAGTTTGCACCCCAACCAACAGTGGAGAAGTGTCCCCTTTCATGTCCTCAATGGAGTGAGCTGACCTTGCACAACACACATCTTTTTTTTTAAAGAGTTGTCTATTTTTTTATGTATGTGAGTATACTGTTGCTGTCTTCAGACACACCATAAGAGGGCATCAGATCCCATTACAGATGGTTGTGAGCCACCATGTGGCTGCTGGGAATTGAACTCAGGACCTCTGGAAGAACACTCAGTGCTCGTAACCACTAAGCCATCTCTCCAGCCCCCACAACACACATCTTAAACTTGTTTTTTGTTTTGTTTTGCTGAAAATTAGAAATGATATCTCCACGTTCATCCTTCTTCATTCATTACTTGTTACCCAGCAAGCATGTAATGAATGCCTGTTCTCCACAGGCATGGTGCTGAATACTGGAAATTAACTTTTGAAGGGGAAGATGGGGAGAGAGTCCTGGGAGAGACAACTGCAATCAGGACAGCATCTATTGGATAAGCTAGAAACTTTGGACCATGAAAACTCCTGGGAATCTAGAGTGATCCTAGCTAGCAATGGGGGACATGGAATCTCTTAGCTGGCCCTGAATTCAGACCACTGCCATAGAGCCTAATGCATTCCTTGACTGTGTTGTGACCTCTGGGATGCTGGTCACAGTAAAGGGACTGAGCTGAGACACATCAGGGAATCTTTAAAGTCAAGGCAATGCTTCAGTTGCATCTGGAAGGAGATGTGTACTAAGAATTCACTAGGAGAAATAAAGCAAGAGGTGCTTTCAGGCAGTGTATTTGCAAGTGCCAGGGTACCAGGTGCTATGAGCCTGTGGATTCAGAAAGTACCAGGATGTTTGCTGGAGGGGCTGAAGAGTGGGCTGGGGCAGAATGCTGATAGATCTTACAGAATGCACATCACCCGGGAATAAATTACTCCGGAATATCAGCAACTCTAGATGGGATTTAATTTATTAGCTTTTGGAGTTCATGAAACTAAAGTTATGGATATGATCTTTGGGAACATGCATGGTTAGACTTCAATTTCAACCTCAGCTAGCCTTTTAAAATATGTTCTCCGGTCACAGGGTGATTAGATGCGAATAGAGCTGCATCAATCTCTGTCCTTAGCAACTGCAGGAAAAAAAAAATACTGCATATGCTAGTTTAGTGCAGTGCAGTCTGCTCTCTGCATCCGAAGGTGCTGCACTGCAGCCAACCACGGTGGAAAGTCTATGAAAAAGTCACAACTGAATGGAATATGTGTGGAGTTCTTCTTCATTGATGTTGCCTAAACGATGCAGCCTAATTACAAACATAGCGATTATGGTACATTTACCATTACGAGTGATCTGGAGGCCATTTAAAGTTTATAGGACAGTTGCGTAGGGTTACACGCAAACACTACATCATTTCATATAAGGGATTTTGGCATCTTCTACTCTCGATCCTGGAACCTCCATCTTTCATGGACACCAACAGACATGGATGGCCGTATTTACTGACTACTTTCCTGACATTATTGGAGATAATACCTTCTGCCTAGGAGACTAAGGCCAGCTGCCTCTGGTCCTTTTTCCTCTTAGCTCCAAAGTGTCGTACAGTTAACCCATCTAAACCACAGCACTTTCTCTGTCCCCTGACCCTACCCCTTCCCCGAGGCATCTTCATCCCTTTACTCCCCTCAGAGCACCGAGCACCCAATCCAGAACCTCTGTGTTGTCTCTGACATCTCACCTCCTACATCTGCCTCCTCCTCAGGTTGTCAGTTCTGTTCTAGAGCATGGCCTTCCACCTCTGTCCCTTCCCCTGCTGGTGTGTGGAGCATTTACCTCCCAACCTGTCTCTCCTTTAGCACTGTTGCTTTTATTCCCAGTTCTTCACAACAGCCGCACCCTGAAATACATTTCCAATTTTTCAATCAGGTCATATCACTGGCTAAGGAAAACCTTTTCCTGACTTCCTATTGCCACTTCAGTAAAGTCCTTATTATTTTCTGCTGTCTCAGAGGGCGGAGAGCCAGACCTTGTCCCTTGCCAGCTTTGTGTTGTATTTCTTCCTCTCACTCTGAACCCATCCTAGTTGCATGGCCTCCTTTCCCTTCCTATCCCATGGCATTGGCATGTGTTGTCCACTGCCTGGATTTCTCGTCTTCTCATCCTGCAGCTACTTTTAGTATTTTCATGGTTTAGTTCTTAGCTAAACTATCTCTTCCTCTAAGAGTCCCCTCCTCCAGTCTATGCTGCAAGGCCTCCTGGGTCCTTCTTTCACAGCCTTCCACCCCCTCCCCCTCATTGCACATGCCACAGTTTCCAGGGATGTGTGCACTTGCTGTCAAACACATAACGGCCATCCTCCCTAGCACACTGTCTCCCTGGGAACTCGAATTGCCTTCTTTTTTACCTCCAACCTCCAGCATTTATTACAGTGGCTGGCCCATAGTGGGTCCTTTAAAAGGTGAAAGATAGTCATTTAAAAGCATAAAACTACATAGATCACTTGAAAAGCCTCCAAGTAATTAATGTCACAAAAATGAAATTAAGCAAATTGTTTTAACACTGTAAACACTTGAAGCTATTTAGGAAAGACATGGCTCAATATCATTAGCTACATCACCCAAAAGATGGAGTTACCCATAATCATTAGATAGTTTGGGGCTATTTTTAAAGCAACAGGGTAACTTTTTAGATGGAGCCCTACATTCTGCAAATTAACTGCTCTTTCTATATATTTCGGGCTCTGTTCACTAAAATGTCTAAACTCTTGGCTCTGCTTCTTAAACCTGCTACAAAGATCACATTAGAATTCATTTTAATAGACATTGTAAGCAGAGTGCCCAATCTCATATCATCACGCTGGGCTCTTTTATTATGAGAGTGGCAGGGAGCGGAGCCTGAGGCTGCTGAACACGTTGTGGGGTGTATCCAGGGCTGGGGATGGCGCCAGCTCCATTGTTTGTGTAACATTCTCTCCACCTTCGTCTGTGGCATACAATTGGTATTGACTTTTGAGAAACTACTTCTCTGACCCTATCTCTCAGTTGGGGGAAAAAAACCTGCTGAAATGACATCTGGCTAGGAAAAGGAAAAGGTATTAAAGCAGCATACGGGAAGGAAAATTATTTGACTTTCTTTAATAAGCACTTCCATGCCTGTCTTTTGGATCCAGTACAGGGAGAGTGTTAAACTTTCTCAAGGTCATGGTTTCTCCATCCCTTCAGAAGCTCAGTGGGCCTGCATGTCTCTGGTTTTCACTATGGAGTGCTAGAATTGGACTTGCTTAGTATGTAGCGCAACATGACACCTTTTTTTCTGTATTTATGAGTAAATACCCTTCGTGAAAGATAAAAATCGGGCGGCTTGTGATAGTTTTCACTGTTTAAGTCTGGCTTCCTTTTTCTTGAAGAGAAATATAGTCATCTTCGGCCAAAAAAAAAAATTTTTTTTCTCCCACAACTTCTAGGTGTATCACTTGAGGGTTTTTTGAACATCATAAAGAGAAAGAAGGAAGCGCAAGTCTATCGGAATGAGATAAGGCACATCTTCACAGCTTTTGACGTGCACTGTAAGTGTCTCTCAAGTGTTTTCATGTAAGAATTTCTGCTGAGGAGCTGTGAATGGCGATTTATCACAGTGAACTAAACGTGCAGTATAGTTGGCAGATGACGGCTACACTCGCTGGCAGTGACCGCAGATGTCGGTGGAGAGCCTTTCCTACTTTGGGATACTAAGTTTCTGGCAGATACCCCTGGATGAAATAGTTACAGTTGTATAATTGGATTGTGTACTATATCTGTGCTCTTGCCTGTTGTCCCCATGTTGTAATGGTGATAGCCAAAGGACTGGCCTTGCCAGAACATAAGCCAGAAGCCACCCATGGACATGTGAGAGACACTTCTACAACTCTCACTGTGACCCATACATGACTGGAAGAATCATTTTCCACACTGGGTGTGACTTCCAAGATTCATGCATTGGCGATCGTTATAATTTCCCCTAAATATTAATATATCATAGATCTGATGCCAAGCCAGAAAACAAGGAGTTTGGAAGACTGAAGTGTGTTGGCAGGGCACAAAGACTCGAGGCCTAGAGTATCTCGTCAATGCAGTCCTTTCCCTAGGACTTAGAGACTCAGACAGTGCAGGGCTAGCAGTGGTCTTCCAGTTTACCTAGCACTGCAGCAAAGGGCAGGGTGTCACCACCACATTCTGAAATTCTTCCAGGCAGATGTGTTCACTGTGTGTATAAGACCTATATAAGATCAACTGTAAGCTACTGCCTTTTTCCCCTTCATTTGAACAATATATTCAAATTTAGCTTCCCATAACTATTATGGCTGAAGTCATAGTTCACCGGCTTTATAGACATGTGAATGTTTACTATTTTGTTTCTGTATAGATCGTGGATTTTTAACTCTAGAAGATTTCAAAAGGGCGTTTAGTCGAGTGGCTCCCAAGCTCCCAGCGAGGACAGTGGTGGAGGTGTTCAGGTACAGGCGCTAAGAGCGCTGCATCCGACCTTCCTCATGTGTTTACCGTTTGCTCTTGTGTATTTTGTGTTTAGCAGGGAACCTTCTCTGTGCTGGTGTTTCACTTTTGGACAGTCCCCTCCTACATCATAGTGTTATGGATCAGGAGAGAAATCTGTAGTTAGCCATGAGTCTAGGTGCTCCCTTCGACAGGGGCTTGTAAGGAGAGGTACAGGAGAACCTTGTGAGCTTATGTGTCATCAAAAAGCCTTATTGATACATGACACAGTCTACATTTGTCAGCAAGGTGACTCATGGTTTTCAAGTTGGGAAGAAGAGCTGGAGGTTGTTACCTCAGGCACAATGGCTGCCCCTCATTCATTCACTTCCTAGTTGCGGTGTACACATTTAAGTGCATTTTAAGATTGTGTTATGCAGTTATTCAAAGATTGTAATGTTAGTGGCGCTAGCACCAGCACATGCAGACCTCTTCTCTGGTCCCTAGCTTGAACCCATCCTCAACTGTCACCAGGTATATTAATTAGGCTTTAATCACTAGTACCATCCAGAAAAATCTACATACTGAAAGATCACAAAAGATATACATGTATTTCTCTCCAATAAACGTAAGCAACCCAGGCCTGGATAATAATGTCATAGTGGTGAGGGACTCAGGTTCTCCATTTCTTGTTCTTATGGCAGCTTTAACTGCTGGCTGCTTCTTCTTCCAGGATGGCTGTTTAAATTGCAGCCATCTAGCCTGAGTACCAGCATTAGGAGGAAAGGGCACAGAAGCCCAACTCCTTTGAGGTTGTGTATCCTTCCCTTACATCCCAGTGACCAACACTTAGGTTCTCTGAGAGGAAGGGAGGGGCTTTGGACAATCCTGTGCCCACTTTATAGAGGTCCTGACAGAGAAGAGGAAAGAGAGGGAATGGATATGGGGGCATCTGGCACATATCCCCTTAGGGAGAAAAGTAATTGAATGGAATCTGGCCTGAAGCCAGCCCTGCTCAATAGAAATTATCAAGCAGGTTATTTGAATAAGGATTGCACGCATTATCATTAGCAGTGACATATATGAAATTCATTTGCTGCCTCGCTCACAGGCAAGCCATTGAGCAGGCTATTGAAGGAGCGCGTGTATCCTGCTGCATACAAAGTGCTACAGGAGAACGTTAGGTGATTTTGTAAAAGCAAGTTCTTAAATGTGTATTAGCGTCTGCTTATGTGCCTCGTGCGCGTTGTGACGAGTGGTGAGTCTCAATACCTTACAGCGGTAGGTTTTGAGAGGAGTTAAAAATTGGCATTTATTTCCCTTTCTACAAAGAAACAAAGGAGCTGCCCACCTTTTCTGACCTTGTAGTGTTTGTTCAATGGTTAGAGTAGATGCTGCCTTGTAGAGATTTTGGAGACAATTGTTTTTCTGGTACCAGGCCTCAAGCCCGGGCTCTCGTATGCTACACAAGTGTCCTGTCACTGAGTTATGTCCCCAGTCCACTTTGTAGTTTTTATTTTAGGTAGGACCTCACCCGGTTGCCCACACTAACCTGAAACTCATTCTGGGTGTAAATTTGTGTTATCTTTCGCCAGCCACCCGAGTAGCTGGGATTACAGTTCTGTACCACCAAGGTTGGACTTGGAAAAAATACTTTGATATAGCCCTTTGAGACAGAGACAGTGCGTAACCCTTTTTGAAGAGAGTAATGGCTTCCAGTCCCATCTCCACCCTACCACCTTGTAGAGAGCATTTTTAAAACACAAAAATATAATGTCATTTTACAAAATCATGTGTGTTGCCTGTTAAAAGTCTTTGTATCTGTGTGTGCTGAGTTGGAAAATGGAATGTCCTGACCTGGCTAAAAATATCTTGTAGTTTTAGTAGTTTTAATTTTTTTTTTCAAGCGTAACTGTGTATGGGCAAGGAGTATTTGAGGTCCTACCCTCTTCCTGAGGAGCTGTTGACAATGAATGGGTGGCAGCGGGGAGAATGAATGGCAGCTGTCTTCAGGAGTATAGCCACTGGTAATTAACCCCACACTCATGCACATGTGGGCATCCTTGGACTCAGTGTATCATTTTGAAAAAAGGTCAGGTATTACAAAGGAGATGTGTTAGGAGTTAAAAGGAATCCAGAGGGCACCGAGTGGGGATAAGGGAAGTGGGTGGGAACTGAAGGCAATAAAAATACATTGTATCCATGTATAAAATTGTCAAAGGATACATTAAAATTTATTTTTGTATGGTAAGTTCTAAAATCTAATACATTTTCAAAACCTATCTGCGGTATCAGCAAAGGTACTTATTCCTAGATTCCAGTCAGCTATAGCAAAACAGTATTAATTAAACAAATTTGAAACCGGTTAAAGCTTTTCATTATCAGAGGATGGACCTAAAAGCTGAGGCTATCAGGACCACGATCACCTGGTCTCATTTAGCGCTGCATGATTTCCTGAGGTATCTATGGCAGCTCTTAAAAACCAAGTCTCAAAACAAATTGAACCTTAAATTGCATAGTCAGAAAGGATTAAGTGAAGATGTTCCAAAATAATTAAGTAAATTAAAATCACATTATTATTAAATGTTATGAAAGATTTCTAGTGATAATACAATTATTTGCCATCAATAATAAAAGCTACCTACTAAATTACTTAGCTATTTTCTATTATAGTTTATAATTAGGTAATATATTAATACAGTCGTACATGTGCATATAAGCTGTCAATGCATGTATTTCCGCTGTGGGTTTTGTGCTATCACATCCTGTGCTATTTACGAGTGTTGTATGCCCAAAACAACTTGGAGATCAAAATCTACAACCGAAAGAAGGCATTTTACTTGGTTGCACACGCCTTGTTTACATCCATTGTATGGAGCTGGAGAGAAGGCTCCGCAGCTAAGATCATCTGCTGTCTCTGCAGAGGCAGCACACACCGGGGGACTCATAGCCACTTGTGACTTCTGTGCCATCTGATGCTCTCCTAGCTTCCAAGGGAACCTGGACACAGAAAAATGAGATCTTTTAAAAATTAGTATATTATATTAACATCCTAATCTGTAAACTAGAAATAAAAAGAATATAATCATAAACAATTACTGAACTCAAAGGGGAAAGAAAAATACTTTCTCTTCGTGCAGATTGAAATAAGCCAAAGAAATAGAGATGTCTGACCCACAGTCAGCATCCCTGTGTCTGGCATGTGTGTTTCTCAGGCACAGGAAAATGAAAAAGAGCTGCTGGGGCTCTCCATGATGTACAGTGCTGTGATGTGTCCAAGGCTAGGCTTGTTTTTTGACAGGCCAGAGAAGCTGGAGGAATTCCAACAGGACAAGTTCTTGTATTTTGAGCGACATGGGGGAAAATGAATCTTTGGATCTAATGGCCCCCTGGTTCTTCTGGAGAAGTGTCTAGAGAGCAAGAGGAGTCAGCTTCAGAGGTGACCACCCTTGTTAAGTTCTCATTCTGTAAGCCAAGTCAGACTCACAGAAAATCAAACCATAAGACCAAGTAAGCAAAGAGCAAAAGCAAAACCTCCCTGGACACAATGCAACGGAGAGTTACCTTACTTTCTAACGTGATAAGAATGTTGGCATGTCCATCAGTAGTTCAGAGCGCCACAAGAACAAAATAAGGTGTTTTTATAATATTGCTGGATAGTTGATGTGGTTATATTACAACTGAAAGTGATTTGGCTTTCAATATATATATTTATTTCTAAAATTCATGTTCTCTCTGCTCTATACCTATTACCCCTTCCTTTACTGCCTTGTTAGTCCTATAGTTAGATGAATTCAAAGCTTGCCTCTGATTCATGTTCCATACTTTTGCTTCTAAGGATCTCAAAAACTGTATTTCCAATTACCTTTTATATTCAGGAATACTTACCTGGAACATTGTACTTGAATAAACTTATATAGCAAGCCAATGCTAAAATATTTTAGTCAACTTCTTTTTCTTTGAAATGCTGGGGTTTTTTTTATGTTAAAAGTCCCTTCTAAAGTTTTTTTTTTATATTAAATGATTTGTAGGCATGTGTGTCTGTGTGAAGGTTTGTGCATCTAAGTGTAGTTGCCTACAGAGGTCAAAAGTGGGCGTTAGATTCCCTGGAGCTGGAGTCACAGTTGTGCAGGCCTCTCCTCATGTCTTTTAGTATGTTTCCTGTAATGTCTGTTTTCATGTGTGGCCTGGCCACTGTGGCTTTTCATTATCTGATTTGGCTTGGTTTTTGCCTTCTACTTCTTCATTGAGCTATATCTACTGATACTTCCTGTCCTTTCATTACTTTGCTGTACCCCTGTTTTATAATATCTCCTCTATGCCATGTATCCCTTGTTTTATAATATCTCCTCTATGCCATGTATTCCCTTGTTTT